AACAGGGATGGAAAAAGACTAGTGAATATCACATTTCATATTACTTCAGCCTTGGGTAAGTGAAAATGACAATAAAGTTTAACAATTCATTTACCAATTTTTTTTAAGTGTTGCATGTGATTAGCATTGTTTTAACAATTTTTACACAGACCTGTCAAGATATTGGGAAAGAGAGAGGGGCTGGGGGGTGGAATGTGCAGAGGAAGGCAACGAGTCCGGATTTGGCTGCTGTGGACATGGGCGAGCGCTGGATGAGCGAGCTGTCCTTTGAAGAAAGAAACACACTGGAATTCAGAAAGGGACAGGACAAAGGCAGCTTTGAGATCTGCTCCTGCTCTTTATTGAGCAGCACATGATTCCAGCTTTTATATAAAGAAATACTGTCTCGGATACTGACTTTCTCTACAGCCTTTAATGAGCCACAGACTCCTAGCCTTAACTCTGCTTTACAAACAGGGAGCCTAAGACCTATCAGGTTGGTTACCTTGCAGATATACTCTGTATATGTTTGTAGCTGTGCTGTGTAACTGTCATTACTTTAAATATAGTCCTTGGGTTCTTCCCTCACCTAAAAAAATCAGTGATGACTCACACAGTCTTAGGAGAGTGTCACATGTCAAGCCAAAGAATTAAATCATAATAGGCAGGGGTTCCTTAAGGAATCCCATGGCAGGAAGGAAGAAAATCCATTTTAAACATATACAAGAAATTTATCAGTCCAGATCCAAAACCTCCAGGAGCAAATGACTTCTATGTCAATCTGTTATTTTTGTTAAAAAAAATTCTATATTTTAGTAGCCATTTAGGCTCTGTTTAATCAAGTTTCTGTACACTACTCATTACTATTAACCGGCATTTCCAGGAAATATATGTTCTAGAGCTGTGAAGACCATAACAAGAAAAATCTACAGGCCTTAGATTCATTTATTACCTCCCTTGGAAAAGCAGACAAGTTTCAGAATATGGTTGGCCTCATGGTAGTGAGAGATAATGGCATCACCCTTGAGCCACACAATAAGAAAACCTTAAAAGAGGCAATAAATTACTTTGGGAAGAATGTTTTATTTTCTCCTACTACTATGGGAAAAGTACAGCAAATTTGGGTATGTTAGCAATTCAGAGAAAGTAAACTCCTCCACTGAACCTTTAGTGAAAGACTATGGTAAGAGGTAGATTGTGTGGAGTCCTTTATTTTGTCCTTCTATTTTTACTGACAAAAATTGCAGTATAGAACTGTAATATATGCTTTAATATTTAAGTTTAAAGTACAAAATTAATTAGGAACTGAAAAACAGAGAAGTGTGCACCCAGAAGAATGCAGAAATATCTAAACCTCCCTGTCTCATAGGTGCAGCGTTCTTTTTGATTCTGAAGAGTGTCTACACTTTCATTTTTCTAGTGGAACTTTACAATGCATCTGTTA